TCAACTGTACAAATCTACACTCACCGGCCACTTTATAAGGTACACCTTACTAGTACTGGGTTGGAGCCCCTTTTGCATTCAGAACTGCCTAAATCCTCCATGACATAGATTCAGCAAGGTACTGGAAATATTCCTCAGAGATTCTGCTCCATATTGACAAGATAACATCACATAGTTGCTAGATTTATTGGCTGCACGTCCATGATGTCAATATCCTACTTTACCACGTCCCAAAGGTGCTGAGATCAGATTGGATTGAGATCTGGTGACTTTGGAGGCCATTTGAGTACAGTGAACTCATTGTCATGTTCAAGAAACCAGTCTGAGATGATTCACGTTTTATGACATTGTCATGGAGTGTTTTCCTGCTGGAAGTGGCCATCAGAAGATGGGTACACTGTGGTCATAAAGCGATGGACATAGTCAGCAACAATACTCGGGTAGGCTGTGGTGTTGACACAATGCTTAATTGGTACTAATAAACCCAAAGTGTTCCAAGAAAATATCCCCCACACCAATTAACCACCACCAGCCTGAATCGTTGATACAAGGGAGGATGGATCCATGCTTTCATGTTGTTGACACCAAATTCTGACCCGACCATCTGAATGTGGCTGCAGAAATCAAGACTCATCAGACCCGGCAATGTTTCTCCAATCTTCTAGTCCAGTTTTGGTGAGCCTGTGTGAATTGTAGCCTCAGTTTCCTGTTCTTAGCTGACAGGACTGGCACCCGGTGTGGTCTTCTGCTGCTGTAGCCCATCCGCCTCAAGTTTGGACATGTTGTGTGTTCCGAGATGCTCTTCGGCAGACCTCGGTTGTAACGAATGCTTGTTTGAGTTACTGTTACCTTTCTATCAGCTGGAACCAGTCTGGCCATTCTCCTCTGACATCAACAAGGCATTTGTACCCACAGATCTGCCACTCACTGTATATTTTCTCTTCTTCAGACCATTCTCTGTAAACCCTAGAGATGGTTGTGCATGAAAAACCCAGTAGATCAGCAGTGTCTGAAATACTCAGACCAGCCTGTTTGGCACCAATAACCATGCCACATTCAAAGTGACTTAAATCACCTTTCTTCCCTATTCTGATGCTCGATTTGAACTGCAGCAGATCGTCTCGGCCATGCACAGATGTACCTAATAAAGTGGCCGGTGACTGTATATTTATGTCTGTGAAGATGCAGTAACTCCTAATGTCACGTGTTTCCAAACATTTTCGCCAATAGTAGCATGCTTTCATAGGGTTTGGCAGCTTTTTAATGAGTATGTCAGATTAATTCTGACACTCTCTAAACCTGATGCTCAGGAGTCTAACCTTTCAAGAGCAAAATTAAAATCCGTCCCATCGCTCATTAAGTATGTTAATGCATGCAAACGAATGGATGCCATGTGTTTGACCCTACCAAGGACATCCTCTGTCCGCATCTCGGAAAGGCTATCTGCTCATCTGAACAGAAATTAGAGGAAGAACACTTACAGAAATCACATTGATTTCCCTTTTACACACAGTTGTCTTTATTTTGGTTGTGAGAAATGTCAGCTTCATCATCATTTTCGTCTCCATTCAATCTCCTTCTTTAAAATACTGCTTTTTTTTTTAAATTTAATTCACCCTAACTTAAATTTGACTGCTTTCATTCAAATATTTTCGGCTTAGTTTCTATATTAATCAGGGGTCGCCACAGCGGAATGAACCGCCAACTTATCCAGCACATGTTTTATGCAGTGGATGCCCTTCCAGCTGCAACCCATCACTGGGAAATGAATTTGACTATAATAATGGATTATAATATTAGCTGAATATCTGCTAATTAGTCAACTCAGCATTAGTCTGAATGCTGTCTGGATTTGAAAATAAAGAACACTGTATATTTGTGCTTAATATACTGTAACATGTTCTCTTAATTAAGCCCAGGCAAGAAAACGTACATTTTTTTTGCTCATCCGACATTTCATTAATTGGCCATTTTACAGCTTTTCATAGTTAATTATTTTTGTTTACTTGTGTCGTTTTATACTTTTATACCATTTGATTCCTCTCGCAAATATTTACCAGTTAAACAAATCAACACATTTCATTTCAACTGAAATGTTTGGTCATTACATGAACACCTGACAGAGGATGATAATAACTAGCGTCACGCTTTACAGTAAGGTTTTATTAGTTCATTTTAGTTGGTGTATTTACTGACATGAACTACACTCACCAGCCACTTTATTAGGTACACCTTACTAGTACCGGGCTGGAGCCCCTTTTGCCTTCAATACTACCTTAATACTTCATGGCATAGATTCAACAAGCTACAGGAAATATTCCTCGGAGCTCTATATTGACATGATAGCTGCTGCAGATTTGTCGGCTGCACATCCGTGATGCGAATCTCCCGTTCCACCACATGCCAAAGGTGCTCTATTGGATTGAGATCTGGTGACTGTGGAGGCCATTTGAGTACAGTGAACTCATTGTCATGTTTAAACCAGTCTGAGATGATTCACGCTTTGTCATGGTGCATTATCTTGCTGGAAGTAGCCATCAGAAGATGGGTACACTGTGGTCATTAAGGGATGGACATGGTCAGCAGCAATACTCAGGTAGGCTGTGGTGTTGACACGATTCTCAATTGGTACTAATAAGCCCAAAGTGTGAAAATATCCCCCACACCATTACACCATTGCCTGTTGAACCGTTAATACAAGACAGGATGGATCCATGCTTTCATGTTGTTTATGCCAAATTCTGACCCTACCATCCGAATGTGGCTGCAGAAATGGAGAGTCATCAGACCCGGCAACGTTTCTCCAATCTTCTATTGTCCAGTTTTGGTGAGCCTGTGTGAATTGTAGCCTCAGTTTCCTGTTCTTAGCCAGACATACCAAGTTGGAAAAAGTCATTTACGGGGAATATAGAGTTTATTTGCAGGAGATAACGGATTAGTGGATGCTCGAATACCTGGGGGGGGTTGAGTAGTGAGAGATCTATCTGTGAAGGGGCCGTGTGCCCGCGAGACGTACTTGAAAAGCGGTGGGGGTGAGTTGCGTGCGACGTACCTGAAGAGCTAGTAGGAATGCAGTGGAGAGAGTGGTGTGCAACAAATTTAAGGACCGAGCAGGAGACGCGCGATTTCCGGGAGATTATCATTCATTTGCGGGCATCGGGGAGTGTCTATGCATTTCAGGGATACTCCCGCAACTTCCGGGAGACTTGGGATGTCTGTCTAAGCTGACAGGAGTGGCACCCGGTGTGGTCTTCTGCTGCTGTAGCCCATCCGGCTCAAGGTGTTGTGCATTCATTGATGCTCTTCTGCAGACCTCAGTTGTAATAAGTGTGCTTATTAGAGTTACTGTCGCCTTTCTATCTTTCCATCTCCTCTGACCTCTGGCATCAACAAGGCATTTGCGCCCACAGAACTGCCGCTCACTGGATATTTTCTCTTTTCAGACCATTCTCTGTAAACCCTAGAGATGGTTGTGCGTGAAAATCCCAGTAGATCAGCAGTTTCTGAAATACTCAGACCAGCCCGTCTGGCAGCAACAACCATGCCACGTTCAAAGTGACTTAAATTCCCTTTCTTCCCCATTGTGATGCTCGGTTTGAACTGCAGCAGATCGTCTTGACCATGTCTGCATGTCTAAATGCATTGAGTTGCTGCCATGAGTTTTGCTGATTAGAAATTTGCGTTACCAAGCAGTTGGATAGGTGTACCTAATAAAGTGGCCAGTGAGAGCAAGCATGAACAGTATTTGGTAACACTTCAAGCTATTTACCATTGGCTTATTACCTTATGATATTAATTAGATCAGCTATAAAGTTTGATCTCATTTCACATCCTAAAACCTAAATCCAACTACTACTTACTAACTATTAATAAGCAGCTAATTAGTAGTTTATTGAGCTAATAGTTAGTATAATAATAATAATAATAATAATAATAATAATAATAATAATAATAATAATAATAATATAGTTATTATTGGTTTAATAGCATAAATTGTGACTTAAAATAAAGTTAATATTTGTTATGAATCATATTTTAACATTTACTAATGCATTATTAAAATCTAAATTAACATTAGTTTATGCACTGTGAGCTAACAAGAACTAACAGTATTTTCATTAATCTTTCGCATGAACAAATACTGTAATAAATGCATGGTTCGTAGTTTGTTCGTGTTAGTAAATACATTAACTAATAGACACTTATTGTAAAGTGTTACCATAATTAAGTATAATGTAGTTGTCTGTCATATTGAACAAGTGTTTGGATGCCACACACTGTAGTTGATGTTATTGATAATGCTAAGAGTGATTTAATTAACGCATCTGGTGTTTTGAAGTGGTACTTGAGCCTATCTGTGACGGTAGCGGTGACTGTGCGTGTTTGTATATATGTGTGTGCATTCAAGGGGGCGCCATTGCTCCAGCAGAGATGATGCTGAACTCGAGGAAGCGCTGCAAAAAGTTTGAGCAGGTCATGAGGAATACAACCTCACACACACACACACACACAAGCAAGCAGCATTTCATACCTGAAAGTTTCACACGTGAAGCAGTGTCATTTTTAAAATCATGTAAAGCGACTTAATTGTATTAACACACAGAAGACTGACAAATATCACTATTTATATCGCCGCGCTGCCAAAAATGATGGCGCATCCCCGTGGAGTGCGCGCGCGCGCGTGTGCGGTTGTAATGTGGATGTCATAATTGCACGGTTTTGTTGTGGTTTTGTTTGTTAAATATTCAGCATATACAGCAAAAAGAGCTTGCATGTGCGTTCATGATGTTGATGTCATAATTGCACGATTTTAATTGTTAAATATTCACATACACAACAGTAAGGAGCTATAGCGTGTGCGCGCATTCAGGTGTTGACAGAGGAACCACCTAGTAAGAGTCGATGAGGAGGGAGAGGGTGTGTGTGTGTGTGAGAGAGAAGAGAGAGAGAGAGAGAGAGAGAGAGAGAGAGAGAGAGAGAGAGAGAGAGAGAGAGAGAGAGAGAGAGAGAGAGAAAAGCACGCGCTCTCTCCTAGTGCACTTTGCAGTAAGTTGCGGGCGGCTGTTGCTGGCGTGGCGGTTGCTGGTCGCGCGCGCAGGGAACTTTAACACGCTGGATCCCAAAGTCCGTCTCTCTCACCTGCGCAGTTCGGAGCTGCCATGGATTTCGCGGCCGGATTTACTATCCTAATCACACTGCCGATCTTTCTGCAGACGAACGGCCTTTATATCTCCAGTAGCATAGGTACGTGCGGCTGTCTTTACCTATTTACACTTGCATCCCATCGCGAGCTGTCCTGCCCGGAACCACCCCAGTGCGCATCAGCCCTGGAGCTCTGCGCACTGTCCCCATCCCCGAAACTTGTGGCACGGGGCTATTCCTGCTGTTTACAACAATTATCCTCTGGAGCTTTGCGTGCAATCTTTAAACAGCAGCCGTGGCGTTCTCGCATGCTGTGTCATTATTCCTACTGTTTGTTGTGAAGTGTGCTTGTTTCACATGCTGCTGGAGATCCAGATCTGAGTGGGAATGTTTGATTTCATCTCCTTCTCGCGTTTGCGAGCTTTGACGGGCGCTCTGGCGATATTGATCCGTCTAAGAGCGGAAGTATTGCAGGATATTGATTTCAAATAATAATAATAATAATAATAAATAGTAATGTCCTCGATCTATTCTCCACCTTTGAGAGCGTTTGCACAATAAAGAAACTTAAAAAAACCCTCAACTTTTGCAAACACTAAATGGTTACTAGTTTATTTTGGAACTTTGGGTTTGTTGGTGACTTGTTGTGGTTATCTGTGAGTTGGGGATTGTGATGAATGTGAGTATTTAGAGATGCAAAGCTCAGCATCTCTTTGATCTGACATATGTGTCTCAAAACCTGGTGAGCTGCCTACCTAGACAGCATCATATAGGTGTGTGCGCAATATGACTATTAACTTGAGCACATTAGGGATAGTGTTGGGCGTGATACGTGTCGTGCATTAATTGATCTGGGATCTGTGGAACATTCTGAGCATCATAGGTGTGTGCAGGATTTTTGTTTGTTGGGTAGGATTGGGGCATTTTTGCGTGAGGTGTTAAAGGTGCATGCTGCATTTATGTGCATCAGGTCTATTGAGTGCTGTAAAATATCATGCACATGGCACATTCATAGGTGCATGCAGAATTTCAGGAAATCATAGGTGAGTTATAAAATATGAACAAGCTGTTCATTAAAGGTGCAGTGTGACAGTTTGTGCATTAAATATTATCTGTATTATAAGTCGATGTGGCCCTTTAGGACATGCTCTGTAAAAATGCTGGGTGCCACACAATCTGTGCTGGGACAACAGAAGGAATGAAGTTACATTATTATTTTTATTATTAAAATTATTACTATTAAATGAAGTGGATTGTGCATAAAAGGTTGTTTCAGCTCATTTTAAATAAGTAGCTTGAACAAACTGCAAATGTCCTTTTTTGAGTGTGCTCAGCCTTTTTTTTTTTTTGGAGGTTATCCTAGTTTTAAAGTTAATTTAAAGGGCACTTGATGAAAATCAACGTTTGTAAGCTGTTTGGACAGAACTGTGTGTAGGTATAGTGTGTCCACTGTCATATTGAAGTGATACAAACACAAGTCTTATTTTTAAATTTCCTGACACTAAAGGATCTCAATCCTAGTGATTTTTGAGGCCCACCCCAACGCGAGGCAGGAGTGTGGTTACCCCGCCCACCAAATTGATTGACAGGCACCATGTTTCTGTAATAACATGTACACACATGTCCACAGAACATTTATTAGCAAAGAAACTGAGATTAAAATATCTGGTCAACTCTCTGAGTTTTATAAGTTGAAGAGTTTTTAAATCAGAGCATGTTTGTAATAAAGACAGTAAAATCACTCTAATTGTTAACCAATATAATCACCATGTCCGCAAGGTGTCATTAAATGCTAATGTGTGTGTATGTGTGTGTACTGCAAATGGCATTTGTGTGTGACTCATCATATCAGAAAGGCTTGAATAAACTCCACCACAAATACCAACGCAATCTCACAGCAATTCATAACTTTTTGATTTCGTGGTTAATTCGTATGAATTTGTACGATCTAATTCGTACAATTTAGTACGACTTGCTTATCCCCCAATGACGGTTGGGTTTAGGGGTGGGGTTAGGTGCCACGCCTCCTTTTTAAAATCATACAATTTCGTACGACTGAACTCGTACGATTCGTACAAATTAGCCACTAAACTGGCAAAATGTAAAATACTTACGTTTTCTTGTGAGATAAGGCTGCAAATACATGAAATAAACTTTTATTTTTGACTTATGTGCTGTTTTTCTGTTTCATCCATGTCTGTCTCTATTTCCATACCTGTTAACCCTCCCGTTTATCCCGGGATTCTCACATATTTTAATGTTCTATCCCGGTATTATCCCGTAAAGGTATATTCCTGTATTTCTCCTATATTTTCAATCTTACTATGAAGGGTGGCTATAGACATCAAAGAGCCAATCCTCCATAAAAGCAACCCATACCGCCAAAGCACCAGGGGCCGCCCTTTGCTCTTAAATGCGAGCCTGTTCTGTGCTTTTGTCTTATTTAGGCATGAAAACACTTTGAATTAAATATAAAAACAGAGGGGTTTCCTTCCTTTGCATTACAGGTACCTTTACCCCTCCATTGCAGTTCTCAAATCAGTCTGTTTATATAGCGGGGCGTGACTGTCAGACGCGCTCCATAGTGAAAAGTAGACACTGTTTCTTTAACGAATTCTGTACATGCAATTTGAAGCGAATCGAAAGATTTTGGGTGCGTGTTTAAACAGACATAAACACATAATTATTAATCTAAAGATGTCGATCTTAGTGGATTTTCTTTCAAACACAACTAATTTTGTCTTAAATGAGCATAAAAAATTAGGAAAGCAATCGGATGCTTTTATTATGATGTTAGATGTGTGCATTTTTAAAGTGACACTTCTGTTATTTAATGTAATCAAGCGAAAAACCTAAACGAGAGATTCATTCGCTGCTCTTTAATCCAAATGTTTATGTTATGCTGTGAATGGGGGCATATACCTTTTTTTCACATCTAATGTTGACAAGTATGTCTATCACTGACTGCTGTTTATCTGATCTTACGCAGGAGCATAGATATATACACTAGATATCCCATAGGGACTCTGAGTATGCGTCAATAGCGCCGCCGTATTTGTACATGGCTTCCTTGACAAGTGTCATTCAACCGCATTAGCCAAGACAGTGTTACAGTATGTAAAGATGCTGGACTTTATCGCTGCCTACGGGTGTAGTAACGAGCAAACAAAGAAAACAAAGCACAGAGGCAAAACATTTCATAGGTAAGGTTTAGTTTTTTTACGTGTTTGTATGTTATGAACTTTTGTGCTACACAGGTAACGTTATTGATGATAATACAGTCACTTACTGCATTCACCATAAGGCAAAGTAGCACCAACTAAAACTAAATACTCGGCTTATGCTAGTTTTGTTGAATAAAATCAGCAAACAATGCAAAAGAAATATGAGAATGAGATGCTGCGCTGCCAAAAACTTGTATTATTATCGGCTAGAGAACGAGTCGTTCATAACGGAGGTTCATTCACAAACGAATCGCTCCCTCCGTCAGTATGAGAAGTGAAAGCAGGAGAGGAGGTGTGGTTCAGGACACCAATTAGATCAAATCTAGCAAGGAGGGTAGATAGTGTCATGACTGTCATGGACCACTAGGTGGCACTGTAGTTTGCTTGTGAACTCTGGTAGCGAACTACAATTGTTAAAGAACTACATGTCCATACATTCCACGTGCACACACCCGGCTTCCACTTATACTGATTACAGACCCAGCTGACGCCAGTTCCCGTTTGATTTCCTGGACTATTTATACACCCTGCACCCGTTTGTTTGTTACTGCGTTGTTTGTCTATCTGGTCTAGTAAGTCTTGTTATAGTTGGTATGTTGTTCCTGAGCCATGTTTCTGTATCCTGCCATAGTTCCTTGTTTTGTTTTGTTTGTTGTTATTTCGATACTTTGATTTTTGGATGTCTTGTTTTTCTGTTATCTGCACGATTATCATTAAATTGCACGTGGATCCTACACATTTTTGTCTCCGTCCGTCAACACACCGTGACAGATAGTACATTTCCATACACACAAACACAAGCTTTTTGTCAGGAATGCCTGTGAGATCACTTATCCATCAATGTAGAAAAGTGATGTAAAATATAATTTAGCATAATTAGATTAAATTAAATTAGCATACCGACCTCTGGGAAAACTCCCGATCATAGATATATGTGTATATATGTGTAAATCTCTGGCTCTAGATGGCCACAGTCCTCCACTGCAGCTTGGTCCCGCATTCATTTCAAAGGAGCGCTGCCCTGTACTAAAATGGCGGCTCTATTGACACATTCCTTCCAATACACAACAACAGGGTAGACAACATCTAATTTATATATCTATGATGCAGGAGAAGCAGGAACGGTGGGCGGGGAGAAGCAGCTCATTTGCATTTAAAGTCACAGGCTACAAAAACAGCTACACTGTACTCAGACACCAAAATGGGCAGATTCTGGACGATTTAATAGATGATCTGATGGGTATTTTGAGCTGAAACTTTACAGACATATTCTGGAGACACCAAATGATTATCTCACATCTTATAAAAAGGGTAAAACAGGTGCCCTTTAAAGCACATGTATTATTTATATAATTAATTTCTGTATATTACAGGGAATATTGATCATTAAGTTAATTCTGTGACAGGTTGAATAGTCAGTTGTTGTTTCTTTCTAATATATTTCAATATTGTAAATACATCTATCAAGCATCTGGCTGTCATCGAAAACAACAAGGCATATTGAGAAGGGTGCATTTATTTATCTCATTCTTTCACGAAAGGGAGGCAGATGTATAATTACAGACAGACTAACATAACACACTTTTTCATCCCGTCTCGCACAGTCTGTGCACAAACAGGCGCCGTTAAATCTGAAAATGATGGTGTCAAGCAAGTGTTAATGTGTTTCTTCACCCAGACCTGTCTGACCCGCTGCATCTCATGTGCATTTACTCGCTGCATGGAGAGGAATGTGCATTTGAAGTGTCAACATAAACACATCTAAATTTAATTCGCCGTGCCAGAAGAAACAATGTTTCTGCAAGCCGTCACAAGAAAAGCAGCGTAGTGACATTTAGGGCTGCACCGTAATGAAAAAAGGCTGACATTGCAATATTTTGTTTTTCTGTAATATGAGTACAATTTCACCAGATGGCTTGAATGCTGTAGCTCTGTCTGGAAAGAAATAATTAATTTAGAGTGATCGGGGTGATTTTGTATGGGTGTAAATCATGAATAAAAATAATAAACAAATTGCTTGCAAAATAATTACAATAGAATAGAGCAATGACAAAAGGAAAATAAACAGTACTTTATGAGTGAGAGTCATTCAGAGACAGTATAGTCTTCATCGTGTTAATTCAGTAAAGTTCCTCCTTAAAGTTACAAATGTACTTTTTTTGGTGCTCAAATGCTTTTAAAGGGGTGGTCCACTATGATATCATATTTTAAACTCATGTGTAATGTAGCTGTGTGGACATAAGCAAAATGTTCGACGCTCAAAGTTCAATGCAAAAGAAGACATTGGCTTTTATAGAGTTAGCTTACCAAAGCCTACAGCGAAGGTAGTTTGAGGACTACAAAAAAATACATCCGGGTTAATGATGTCATATACCCTTCAGGTTACAAGCATACACTCTGTGAAATGAAGGGGCGTGGCCAGATACGCTGTAGTGTTATAGCAGACATGCTTACTGGGAAATCACAGCACATTATGTTAGCTGACCAATCAGAGCCTCTTGAGGGCAGGTTTTTGGAGGAACTAGGAACTATGACAAAAAAATTTGTAATTTTACGGTTTAATTCCGGAAGCTGGGGTGCCAGAAATAAACCGTAAAATAACAGCTATTAATTACAGAAATATACCGTAAAATAACGGTTATTAAATTACCAAAAATATCTTAAAATTTAAATTTTTGGTAAATTTCGTTAATTTATTATCTATTATTTTATGGTAAGTTTCTATTATTTAATGGCCATTATTTTACGTTATATTACCCCAGCTACTGGAAATAAACCGTAAAATTAAGAATATTTTTAACAGTGTGGCTGAGTAGCAGTATATAATCAAAGTAAGATATATATATAAAAAAACAGGATTTTTCAAAAGTGAAGCATGAGCACACATTGCTTGGCATCTTATAAACACAACCAAGCCTTAAAAGTATACTCCTACCACCCCTTTACCACCCTTTAAATGCCTTTAAAACAGAAACAAATGATAAAGTTAAATTCTGTTATGGTTATACAGTACTTTGCAATGACTCCACAAATCTTTCTCAACTGTTTTGCTGATTAACTATAGCCCCAACTCAACATTGCATATCCTGTTATGTGACTCTTGCGGACACACACATTGCGATATCAATGCTGAACTATACTGTATATTGTGCAGACCTAGTGACTGAAAGGTATTTTAGAGCAGTAACAGTGAAACTGTGAAATTTTAATCCAAGGATATCATACCATCAGAATCTCATTAAACAGGTCATGTATTTCCTGGGAATAATATTTCTAAAGGAGCTGTTGACATGGAATTAAACCAGGTTTTGGTAAAAACCCAAACAATACAAACATAAAAATGAAACAAACAAAAAAAATCTACTGAAATGTATTTAATACTTGATATGAAAGGCTTTTTTTGGTGACGGCAGCCTCTAAAATGGAGATTGAAGTCACATGCATTGCTCAAGTGTGAGATTTTCCACAGACTTTCACAGACTTGTTGGTTCTGTGGGTCTTGTCTATCAAATCTGAGCTTTATTTTGTATTTTCTATTGGATACAAGTCAGGTGACTGGCTGGGCCATTCTACAGCTTGATTTTCTTTATCTGAAAGTATTTAAGAGTCTCCTGGGCTGTTTTGGATCATTGTCTTGCTGAAATGTCCACCCTGGTTTTATCTTCATCCTCCTTCTAATGTAGATGTTGGACTGAAGCAGCTGATATTCATTTATACTGAGGAAGGGCAGGGGGTTGCTAAAGAACTACTGAGAGATTTCAGCTTCTGTCTGGGCTTTCACTGCCTTTCCACACCTCCCTTTCTTCATGTGTTTAATACTCGTTTCCTTGTGTCATTTCATTTAATACTCATAACTTAATTTGTATAATAATTATTTTAGTTTTTCTTTGCATATGGACTTATTTGGTTGTTACCATCAAGTCAACAGCACATTTGGAAAGTTTTTTTACTGAGAAAAAATGGTGACTGGTTTTGCTTGGCTTAATTGTCCATTAACTGTTCACCCTAGTTTCATCGTCATCCTCCTGCTAATGTAAATGTTGGACTGAAGCAGCTGATATTCATTTATACTGAGGGATTAATTTACAATGAAAGATTTCAGCTACTGTCTGGGCTTTCCATGCCTTTCTACACCTCCCTTCCTTCATGTGTTCAATACTTTTTAATTTAATTTCATTACAAATAAATTCATTTATATACTTATTAGTTTTGTTTTCTTTGCATATATGGATTATATGGATGGATGTCATCAAGTCAACAGCAAAAATCTGAGAAAAATGGTGGTGTTCAATACTTATTTCCCCCACTGTAGATGCCGATGCTCTAACGTTGACCGTCTGTCTTTGTGTACAGATTCCCTGCAGCATGTCCTGGGGGACTATGGACTGGTGAAGCCCGTTCTGACAGATGCAGAAGGCCGCTTCGTGTCCCATGCAGTATCAGTCGGTCCAGCAAACGGGCAGTTCCGTAGGCGCTGGAGAAGAGAGGCGGCATCGGCCGACCACGCCCACCATGAGTCCGGAGGAGACGCCTTTCAGCGCCTCTACTACAACCTCACCGTCTTCGGCCGGGAGTTTCACCTGCGACTTCGCCGCAACGAGCGACTGGTGGCTCCCGGAGCCAAGATGGAGTGGCAGGAATCTGGCGGCTCACGGTTCGAGCCTTTGCAGAGTGGCTGCTTGTATGTGGGAGACATTACGGACATACAGGGAGCATCGGTGGCTATCAGTAACTGCGACGGCCTGGTAAGTCAACCTGGTGGTTTATATTTGTGTGTGCTATGCAGTTTGTCCTGTTAAAGCAGGAGTGCCCAACCTTCAACACACCTGCCTGGAAGTTTTTAGTGTATCTAGAAAGAGCTTGATCAGCTGGTTCAGTGGTGTCTAATTGGGGTTGGAACTAAACTCTGCAGAATCTCCAGGACCGAGTTTGGGCATCCCTGTGTTAGAGGGATAGTTCATAGGGCAGGGCTCGAAATTAACCTTTTTGTTTGGTAGCACTGATGCTCTCAACTTTAAAAAGTTAAGAGCACCAGCCAAAATTTAGTTGCACCCACCAATTATAAGCACCGTTGCTTCAAGTTTTAATGTTATATTAACAGATTTACTGCATTTGAAATCAACACTAAACAATCTAACAAACAAACAAACAAACAAAGCGACATCTGCATGCGCCTACCAGCCCCGCACGCACTGCTTGACATGAATGAAACTTAGTTAACAGTAATAACTTTGCTGTGTAATATTGCACAGATAATACTGACATAAAAGCTTATTATTTGCATACGTCATCTTAATAGCAATACCGTTTCTTTCATGAGCTGCAATATTAGTTTTATCTTAATGAATGCAAGCCCTTTTGCGATGGTACGTGGTGTTACGTTTTACATATAGCTGCCACCTGCACAGCTGACAGCATCCTGATGATTAAATGAAGGATTAAACAGAACCTCTCGCGCTTAAAATGTGTAGATTTGGCGAACGCTGTTACCTGTAAACTCTGTCACACCGGCTTTATGATGAATGCTTTAGTCATTACACTGGAAGTCTTTTATCCACTCTTCGAAAAGTGTAAATGCTGGATTGACATTCAGCACATGATGACTGATCAGATGTGCCATTATTGGAAACTTTTATGTTTTCTAAAACTAAATCTGCCCGTGTTGTTTTCATTCTCGCATCTTCAGTGCTTTACGTGTTCGGGGTTGTAGCTCTCCCTTTCATCTAAAGAAAGGCATCGACTGAGTGATTGACAGCTGATATTAACCAATCCGTTCGCATTCTGTGCTAGAGCAGTGGACCAATCAGAAGAGCTTGAAGGCGGGACAAGCATTGCACGTTTTGTTTACTGCAGCAAGTTGACATGTCAACTGTTTAAACTATTCACGAGCGCTGCGTTTGGTGTATCAGGTGCTAAGATGCGTTCTACGTGAATGTCTCCTAAATCCACGTGTGTGGTGAACATTTTGCAGTGAAAACCGGTCGCACACCACCAATTTTATGCAGTCGCACAAATGCTCCCAAATATATTTTGAGATCGCATGGATTCAATTTTGGGTGCAAATGCAACGTAAACGGTTGCAATTTCGAGCCCTGTAGGGTCATCATTTACTTGTTCCTTAAGACGTTGAGTTTCTTCTGTTGAACACAAAGCTATCTTGAAAAATGTTGGAAACATTGACTTTCATGGGATAATTTTTTCTCACTATGGATGTTGATTAATTGTGGAACAGTAAATGATGGGTGCATTTCAATTTTGGGTGAACTATCCCATTGCAAACATTTTAACACAACGTTTACATGCCCTAATTAGGCTTTTCTGGATATTTTTTGTGCAATGTTGCTGTGTTTTTAATGTAAAAGGACTGTAAAAGTGGACAGTAACTGGAGGTTTTGATGCACAAACCTATGCAGGTTTAAAAGAACTTGGATAATGCCAGTTTGTGGAAATGCTGTTTTCTGTGCAGGAAAAGCAAATCCACTGACCATTCAGAGCAGGGTGGACATTTAGAAAGGTGGGATTTAAAGAGAATGGATCCATGAAGTGATCAGTAAAGAGCTGATTCTTCACTGTGTACAATGAGGACGTGTTTTTTATATCATCGATGGATATGTAAAACTATAACAAAATAATTTATTAGGGACACTTTAAGGAAAATGGGAAATTGGGAACTATTTGAGGGTCAGTAAATAATGGATTCATTTCATATTTCAGTTTTGGGTAAACTATCCCATTGCAAACAATGCAATAAAATATTAACATGAGCTTATTAATCTTTTTTATTATTTATATATATCCCTATAAATATCCTTGTATTTCTAAGGATATTACCTTTCATGTAGTGTGTGTTGCTTTATGTGAAAGGTCTGTGAAAGTTATAGTAATTGGAGGTTTTGATGCACAAACCTAGGGTGGACACTCAGAGGCGGGGTTTAGAGAGATTGCATCCATGAACCAATCAGAAAAGTGCTGATTCGGCACTGTGTATAATGAGAATGTGTTTTTTGTATCATGAATTTGTGGAGGAAAAGCAAATCCACTGTCCAATCAGAGCAGGTTGTACACTCGGAAAGGCGGGCTTTAGATATATTGGCTCCATGAAGTGATCAGAAAAGAGCTGATTCTGCATTCTGAATTGATATGTAAAACCACAACAAAATGATTCATTAGAGACACTTTTTAGGGAAAATTTGGAACTATTTGAGGGACAGAATATGATGGGTATATTCAGCCTGATCTCACGAGGAAACGTAAGTATTTTACGTTTTGTCAGTTTAGTGGCTAATTCATACGAATTCTTACGAGTTCAGTCGTACGAAAATGTACTATTTTAAAAAGGAGGCGTTGAACCCACACCACCCCTAACCCCAACCCTCATTGGGTGATGAGCAAATCGTACTAAATTGTACGAATTAGATCGTACAAATTCATATGAATTAGCCACTAAATCCAAAAGTTACGAATTGCCGTGAGATTGCGTTGGTATATTTCAGTTTTGGGTGAACTATCCCCTTGCAAACAATTTAATAAAACAATAACATGCCATTATTAGTCTCTTTTTTTGGATATTACCTTTCATGTAGTGTGTGATGTTGCTATTTAGAAGGTCTGTGACAGTGTATAGTAGCTGGAGTTTTTGATGCACAAACCTATGCAGGCGGGTGTTGGATAGATTGGCTTCATGAACCAATCAGAAAAGAGCTGATTCTGTGATGCGTATAATGAAAGTTTGTTTTTCTATGATTGATAGACATGTAAAACCATAACAAAAATTATTAATCAGGGACATTTTGAGGAAAACAGAAATTTTGGAAATATTTGAGGCACAGTAAAAAATGGGTTAATTTCAGTTTTGGGTGGATTTTACCTTGCATGTAGTGTGTAATGTTGCTATTGTTTTATGTAAAAGGTCTGTAAAAGTTACAGTAACTGGAGGTTTTGATGCTCAAACCTATAGTGGACACTCAGAGGCGGGGTTTAGAGATATTGCATCCATGAACCAATCAGAAAAGTGCTGATTCTGTGCTGTGTATAATGAGAACGTGTTTTTTTTTTACTTATATTTCATGAATTAATATAAAAAACTACTACAACATTTACCTAAATTACATCGACATGCAAATGAGATGTTTTTCAGAGTTAGTATTTTTTTAAATAAATGCTCTAAAATAGTGTTTTCATAGTGATGCCATTTATTTTGATAGTGTTACGAACATCTGAATATTTTGAAGTACTTTTTTACAATAGGAGTGTACAGATTGTTCTTGTTTGTAGAGATTTTATTATTTCAGGTGCTTATAAGTAATTGAATTACTTTTCTGAATATTGGATGCAACTATAAGCCCCATTCAGATGGGACTAGTTTTAATGGGGGTGTTAGTGAAATTTCTGTTTCACAGAAGTGCATTGTCATTGCCACAGACATATCACGCTGCAGTCCAAGACAGGTTACTCACCGAAGCTCAGCAGGGCTGAGCCTGGTCAGTACCTGGATGGGAGACCACATGGGAAAACTAGGTTGCTGTGGGGGTGCTCAACCTGCGGTCTGTGGGAGTCCTAATGCCCCAGTATAGTGAAGGGGACACTATACTGTCAGTGGGCGCCAACTTTCGAGTGAGAAGTTAAACTGAGGTCCTAACTTTCTGTGGTCTGTTGAACTCATTACCTGATTGGCTCATATCTGGTTGTATCCATACTTGCATCATTGATTCTATGATTGATCCCGTGGTCTGTTAACGAATGCTGGGAATATATACTTATCCTGGATGTCAACATCAGGCTTGACATAGCGGCTCATTCTCATCCTGAATCAGCAGAAGTGCAACGGACTAAGCAAGGAGGACCCGATTAAACTCAAGCTGCACTTTTTCTGTTATCCTGACTTTCTTTATTTCCCTTTTGTGCAATACCCCTCTGGAATGTTATCCTGACCCTTTAAAAACATGCTCTCACTAAGGTCCTTTATGGTCTAACCAAAATTTCAGTCTTGATGCATGTTTATAAATAACACTACTCCCCAAAACTGTTCATCTTCATCAAAATATCATTTAGTGCTTGCAGTGGTCAGAGATTTGCTGTGTATTCTTGGGTGTACTTGACACAAGTTAGAAAGGCAAGTAAATACTTGTGTTTTGTGAGTAGCTGTGTGCACTGAGATGTGTGTTTATGGCAGCCGCAGATGTGAGGTCTGGAGCAGAGGTCTCTTGTTAATTATTGGAGGGTTTCTTTTTCTTCTGTGCTCAAATAAAACTAATTCTAAACGAGTCCAGATGAGACGCTCAGAGAGATCATGAGATCCATACGCTCCCTGTGGCTGCCGCCTTTATAAAGCATGAATGAGGGAAGGAAATAAATAGAGCAAGGAAATTTGTATATACGCCGAGTAAATGAAGAACTCAATTAGTGATATAGACTTTCACTGAAGTGCGCTGGCTGTATCGGTACTCATAGAAGCATCAATGCATTCATATCTGTGCAGCTAAATCAGCTTATGCTTATTATTTCGTTCCGTTTAATGTGGGATTTGATGGTAAACAGCTAACCTGTGTGCAAAGGAATTGTTTTGTCCAAAAGAAAGTATTCAAGATTTGTATATTGATTGAAAAACAAACATTTCATCAATTTCCTTCTTTATATACATATTTTTAATCTCATTTACCCCGATCTTTGTATATTTTGGATGATCTTTGTAGCTTACGTTTCTGATAGTAGTGTCCAATGATCACGTTAGTCATTATCCTTACCC